TCCTGCTGATGTTACAATGTCTACCTTAGTATTAAGTGTTACAAATAAGGCCAGTCCTGCTCACTTCTTCATGACATCACATTTTGGTTTGAGAATTTTTATGTATCTCTAAGAAACAAGAAGAAACAACACACAAACCCAACCCAACACACCACAAAATAAACCCCTGAGAAAGATTGTATTCCAAAGAGGAATTGTTTTCCAGGCTGTTTTTGCCATATCACAGAAATTAAGAGTATGAACACCATATTATTAAAAACTAATTAATGACTCATTGAGCAGGTAGTGCAGAAGGACTTTAACTGAGGGGTAAACTAGTCTTGGAAATATCTGTTGGTAGTGTGTGAGTTAGGAGATTTGGTTGAACAGGGTTTTTAATTGATATGAATTGATATCTTCTTTGCTGTGCTGGATGTATCTCAGATAGTACTTCATAGTTTCATGCTTTGCTTTTGTCTCCTTCTCTTTTTAGGGTAAGTTGTTTCTTTTCTGAATTATTTGACACATTGTAGCTCTGGTTTTGTGTACTGTCAGAGAGTTTTCCAGCTTCAACAGGTGCATACTTTCTTTCCTCCACTCCAAGCAGTGGTTACTTTCCACATCTTTTCAGGTATCTATTATTAGCTTTTCCTTCCTGTCCTTTATCTTCCTATCCTAGGCTTTGTGGAATAAATGGTACAAATCTTATGTTTATAACCTGGACACATTTTACACTACCTGTTGCAATAATACATACTTAATTAGTTTTATTTTTCATTGTTAGATCTTACTTCATTTTATTAGGGAAGCCTGTCATTTATGCTCTTTAAATATAGGACTTTGTGTGGTATGGCTGATGTACTGTTGTAGGCAGTTTGTGATAGTATTTGTATTTTACTGTCTGAGTTATTACTGGCTTCACAAAAGGAGCTGTGAGGGAATTTTCTGACCTGTGGTCTCCTTGGTGTGGGAGGCATAAGGTGTAAATCTTGGTAGTCAGCTTAGCCAGGAACTTGTTATCAGGATATGGTTCCCAGCACTTGCCCTCAGACTTACAGACCTGGGTAGCTTTGCCTGAAATGTGTTGGTTCTCTGTATAACAAGCTAAAAAGTATTTAGCTGTTCATTACCTACTAATTCAGGTTTGATTGAAATTTTGAGGAAAAATATTTTAATCCAGCCATACAGCATATTTAAATATTGCTATGTTGATATTTGCTTGAGAATCTCAAAATTAAACTGCTTAGATAATTTTAATTGAATAAACCAGAAAACACTACTGTGAAAAGATAATTAGACAAAATAATGTGTTCATTTTAACATGATTTATTTTACCTGTCAGTGTCTCTTTTTAAATGCTCCAGATGGTGGAAATACATTATTATATCTCATTTTCAATCTTTGATGTATAAACACTACTTCTTCAGAAGAGCAAATCACAAGTATGATTGGACTTGTGCTTTGTATTGACTGCATTTTTGTGCTTCATTTGAAGGTCATTCTGTGAGGCTTCTGGGTCAGAAAAAGGATAATGGAAAACGTCTGGGGGGAGCACGACTGGATTTGCCAAAGATTAGGAAGAATCCACTGATAGAAATAATTTCCATCAATACAGGGTAAGGATTTTCCAAACTTATAAAACATTCAGTACTGCCAAGGAGTTCAGTGTAGCTCTTTCTGCAGGCCTGGTGTGTGACACTTAAGTTATGCATAATTAGGCAGGGTAAAATAATAAAAGGTTTTTAAATGGTATTCTTTCTGGAAAATAAATCCCTGTTTATCTGGGCACAAGACTTCTGCTTCTCCAGAGCTGTGTACAATCATGCAGTCCTCTCTGGAAGTTCATCTAACTCTCTCAAAAGTTCTAAGAAAACTGGAGAAGAAAAAATAATTTAGAGTTTGCTTCCTGTGCACCTTTGGTTGTGTAAGAAGGCAGTTCCAGAATATCGTTAGTAACTCATTAAGATCTGTAAATGTTATTAAAATCTGGAAATGTTATCAAGATCTGTAAAGACCTGATTGTCAGCCCAGATGTATTAATGGCTGAATTAGATGGTTATTTGCTTCTTGCCACTCTACTATGTTTGCAAAGGGTTATCATGCTCATATTCCAGCCTTTTTTTTTTGTTTGAATAAACTACCCTCTGCCTATCAAGCAATTCTGGATGCCCATTTCTCCATAAAACTCCATAAAACTAGCATTTTTCTGTTCTGTAGTTGTGCTTTGAGGAATTAAGTTTTAATCTTTCTTCTCCTGATGCTTTCCATTTTCTGAACTCGACTTGGTCATCTCCCACTTGGTCAGTTTCCTAAAACAAAAACAAAGAAACAAAACCTCCCCACAACGACAAAAAAAAACCACACCAAAGAAAACAAAGAATCTCCCCCCACCCATAAGTCCTCTTCTGGTTTTCCCATCTTCTCCAATTTATGTAGTAATTTCCCAGGTGGTTACATATAAAATGCATTGCTCTGGGCGTCCCAGGTAGGTGTGAATGTACTTTCTAGAGAGAAAAAAAAATATCTAGTAGATCCTAGCTCCCTTTGTTTTGAGCTTAGTCTAGCACTTCCATAAACAATTAATTAATGAGTTTTGCTACTATCCTCTTTCTCTCTCTGTTGTCTTTAAGCAATGTTGCCTTCCGAATCTGCTGTAAAACCTCGTGTGCTGTTTAGGTGAGGATACCAGTTCAATGCCTGGTGAGGTTACTTCTTCCTCTGGCTTACAGTGAACGTATGGATGACATGTTGTCAGAGTGCTGAAATTATAATACCTTTTTAAACTGCAGTTTCATGCATTGATTGTTTTTGAAGTCTGGATAAGAGCCCTTCTGGTGTTCTCTGAATCTAAATTTTCCCTTATTGTCTTCCCTGTTGACAACTTGTTTGTGCCCTTGAGATCAAAATCCTTTTCATGATTAAAAATAAGCAAAGCATTCTTTTACATTTGGTTGTGTCTAATATTCAGACGGTATCATTTTTTCTTTTCCATTAATATTATCACAATCTAATCTTAAAATGTTTTTCTAGTTGTAAATGTTGTCAAGGCTGTGAACTAATTGAGCCATGGTCTTGTCTACATGTCTTTTGATTTGTAGTAATGCTTTTAAGATGGGCCAATGTATTGCTCTTTCTCATACCAGGGTATTGCTAGCCTAGCTACAGAGCTTAATACAAGAAGAATACTACAAGGTATATACGCTTGGCATTAGGTGGCTGATGAGAGCAACAAACCTTTGCAAAAAAAAAAGTATTTTAACATATTTTGATTATAGATATTTTCATGCTGAGTTGTAAAGATATTATTTCCCAGGTTGATCAAACTGCTGACAATTAACATATCCCTAAGGTGTGACCTATGGAAAACCTTTTCTTTGGATCCTGATAATTTACAGGCACTAATTTCTTAGCTTAATAGTTATTGCTGTTCTCAAGTCAATAGAATATATATTTTATACTGTAGGATAATGTGAAAAATACTAGGAACCAGAAAAATATATTTATTTCATGGAGAATAGAGTGAAATATGACTTGAGAAGACCAGAGTATTCTGGAAAACTCAAACAAGTCAGTTGTGTAAGACCTCTAAATTAACCAAGTGTCCCATTCTATGTTACATCACGTGCTCAAGGAATCATGTTTCCTGACACATTACAGATTGACATCTGTCATTTTCCTCTAAGGAATGAGTGACTTGTTCTTCCTGCATCATTTGCTTTGTTATCACTTAGAAAACATTTGTCAATATTTTTCAAATTAATTATTCAGTTATTTTCTATAAAATAGGCAGCAAATCAGCGATCCTAGCAGAACTTGGATTGTTGCCTTGCTAAGTTCTGCAGTGATATTGATGGATCTAAACCTAGAAACAGTGATTTGTTCCTGTCCTTCAAAATCATTTTCTGCTTTGAATTAAGGGCATTTGGTTCATTTTCCTTCACTTCTATTTATGTCTTAAGTGTGTATTGTACAGGTCCATCTTACTGGAACAAACCAGGTAACAGTAGCAGAATAACATGTTAAGTGCTGTTTGAAGAAAAGGCATGAAGTTGTTCACTTATCTCTTAATGTGATTATTCCATCTGTTATATTCAAGTAAGAAAGCTAAAAGCTTTCAAATCCATTTTGCATTACGACTTCGTTTTGGTCTAGGGAAAAATCTTTTCTCCTCGTGATCTTGTCTTCGTTAGTGCCAGTTCCTTAACCTATGTACCCACTATGTAACCACTTAGCTCTTTTTAATGGGATCAAAACTTTGTCTTCCATCTTTTAATTGAGTAATTCTCTATCCTGAGCTCTCTGCTTTGCAGCTCAGCCTGTTACTGATGTATCTATGCTGTTGACATGGCCTGAGCTCCCGTATATCCGAGTTACTACTGCTCACATGCTCTTCAATAAGGTTTTATTTGTGATCTGCTTGGATACCTTGGGAAGCAAGAGTGGAGGAGTGTGACATGAGGTGAATATGAGCCCACACTGGAACTTAATGTTGGGTGGGTTTGCACACAGGTTTACTGAAGAGCTTTCTGTACTCCATCTAAGCTGTCTGTCTCTCTTTCCTTCTGGAGCAGGCAAGGTATTGTACTGCTGATGTGGCTGGCTAGAGAAGAATAAACACATTGTACAGGGGATTCAAAACCAGAAGGAAAACAGAAGTGTGTGCTCATGCATTGAGCTATCTAAAGACCTAAGACCTGGTGCAACTCATGCTGACTTTTCAGTGTGAACATACTCAAAGTGCCAAGTCTCTCACCAAGTTGTCCTTTTATTCTCTCTCATCTGAAGCCACTGCATGAATTCCGTATAGTCTTATTCTCTTGTTACTTTCATAGGTTCCCTTATTAAGCTGGTCAGAGGACTGGGAGATGTTTAAGATCCCCCATCTGAGTTATGGTGTTGTTCTGAGACATTACACAGACCCATGGTTGTACTGAGAGGATGGTTCAATTCAGTGGAAGCACAGTCTAGTTCTCAGTCTGAACATCTGTGAACATTTTCCTTTGGGAGAAGGGCTTTTAAAAGCATTATTAAAATGAAAATTAAATTGCTCATCCAACCAATCCCAATACATTATTCCTGTAGTGCTAGAGCATCTTACAGAAGATCAGCATCTTACTCCATCTCAGAAAGGTTTTCAGATCTGCTGTGGGTCTTAAATACTAATTAAGGCATAACACTTAAAACTTAGTGCTCTCCATATTGAAGAAGTAGAAAGTTTCTTCTCATTGGAGGGTCCTTGCTGTCAAACTTCACGTTGAGAGTGAACATGCATAGTAGTGCTTTCTTTAGAAGTCCTTGATTCTTCTTGCTAGTTTTGAGGGGGTGTTTTAGGCTGTGCTTTGAAGTTCTGCACGGATGGTCATTCAGAATCTTTGAGAGCTCCTGACGGATCTGAATTTAGCAGAAGAATTAAAAAAAAAAAATAAAATTAGTTCTATGTACAGTACTTGATTTGTTTTATTAATCAACTAACCAAAAATTCATAGTAAAAAAATATAGTATAGAGGTCCCATTGTCAATCTTGATGTTCCCAGGCAGGAGGATGTCACTGGTTATGAACTGTGAAAGGATAAAATTCTGTTCTATCAAAATTTTCTGTAATAAGCAACTTTTCCAGTTTTATGATGCATTGGGGAGTGTGAAGATTGAATTTTCTCCAAGAGTTGCATTTTGGCTTTGTATGAGCTCACATATTAACCTTTTATATATTGCATGTCAGGATTAGTTTAGGATTGAGTATATGAAGTTGCATGGAACTGTATGTCTATGAAAGTGTAGTTATTCTGTTTGGTTAATTGTTGGGTTGTTTTGTTGCTTGGTTTTTGTTTGTGGTTTGGGGTTTTTTTTGGTGTGGTTTTTTTTTTTTTTTCTTATTGTGCCAAAAAGAGGCTGTAAACTGACATATTTCCAAGTCTGTAATATTTTTTTTTAATGTGGACATCTGAAATATGTGATTTGATTAACTTTAGTCACGTTCCAAATCTTAGCAGCATTAGATGATTTCTCCTGACTTTTGGTGGCTAATAACTAGGTACCTGGGAGGTGTCTTTGGTGGTATGCATGGACTCGTTGTGCTGTAGGTAGTCTTCACTGAATGAGCACATATTTAAGGCTACTTTCAGAATTGAAAGCAGATCGTATTCCATATCTTTGATCACTGCAGTTGGTTGAGATGTCCCACGAGCAGGAAGTCTCAGTGGCTTTCCCATATGGCAGTACATATGGAAGCAGTGGTGTCCTCTCAGAAATGAGTGGTTTACCAACAACAAGATGAAGAAGAGATGCACATGGTTGTATTTGCCTCTTCTGACTAATTAATGCTTTGGAATTATTTGATGCCAGTACACTGACAGATGTGTGGAGGCCATTTAGAACAGCATTTGTTCCTTTGCCAGCCTAAGATACTCCAGTAAGAGATATTGAGGTCCTTGGAAGCACTTGAGGATGCTGCTACAGTTTTTATCAGTGAAATATGGATCTAGTTGTTAATCTGAGTGTGCTGGAGCGAGTCAGGTGCTTCCAGGCTCTGGTGCAGGAGCAGAGGCCCAGGGCCACATGGCATAGACCTGAATGTTGTTGAACATAGAGTTGGGAGACTGGTCTGTAGAAGTTTAGA